GTTCTTCCTAATGTTTAGTCAAAAACTCTTCTAATTTCAACCCGTTGGTTCTGGTCCGACCTTCTGGGGCAACAGGAAACAAGGCCACACCATCCTATATGACAGCCCTTCAAGTACCTGAAGACGTTATTTCTCTAGACATCTGGTTGGTTCTGCAGCCCAAATCCTATTTCATAGTTTAGTAGAAGTCCCATCTTGTCCCTTGGATTGCAAAAAGATCAAATCAGTGAATCCTAAAAGAAATCAACCCTGAGTGTTCCCTGGAAGGCCAGATAATGAAACTGAAGCGCAAATACTTTGGCCACCCAATGAGAAGGGAGCACTCACTGGAGAAGAAGACCCTGATGCTGGGAAAGATTGAAGGTCAAAGAAGACAGGGACGGCAAAGGATGAGATGGTTAGACAGTGTCACAGATGCAACGAACATGAAGTTGAGCAAACTTCAGAGGACGGCGGAAGACCGGAAGGCCTGGCGGGATCTGGTCCATGGAGTCGCAAAGAGTCGGACTCGACTGTGCAACTGAACAACATCATCTTGACTGTCTCTGCTCACTCTGTGTTATTCCACCTTGATTCCCAGTGAGAAAAGCAGACTACGAATACATAAATCTCCAGGTATTTCCCAACCCAGAGCTGGCAACCTTATATGTTCCTCTTTAGTTTATTATTTCATCCAGTTTGGAGTTTTGAAGCTCCTTTTGAATGTAATTATTTTGTGCCTTCTCTTTCTTCCCTCCCAGGATTGGAACGGAAACCGGAGAACTGCACTCAAGTATTTGTTAGCCAAATGCCTTTACCCGTATTGCTAGATGGTTTGTTTACCAACTTCCCACGTTAATTGAGGGAAACACCAAAGTTAAACAAGCCAGATTGCCTTGCATATATATTAACTCGGGTGCAGAGAAAAGTACTCTCTCTCTCTCTCAAAAAAAAAAAAAAGAAAGAAAGAAAAAGAAAAAAGAGGACCTTTTTTGACATTTGGCGGTGGGGGGGGGGCGGCGGCGACACCTTTGTTTTTGAAGAATCTTCCAGAGCTCCTTGTGACAATGTCCAATAACTGCCCTCACTAGCCATCACTGATATCATTAGCCATCTCCAGTGTTCCCTCTATGCTGAGTTAGTGTGAGCTAGCTCACAGGTTTTTAGCCTCTGGCGCACAAATTTTTTGTCTTAGCCCAGGAAGGCTGGCTCCAGAGCAAGCTAATTTATGCAGCAGCCCAAACTGCTCACTCACAACTTTAATGCCAGCAGCTCACAAAGTAGAATTTTTGCTGACAAGACTCCAAAGCTTAGAGGGAGCATTGCTATCAAATTGCTTACATAGCTTCAGGGATCCCTGACTGAGTGGGATCAGAAACGTGACGACAGCCACATCCCACATTCGGCTTGGTCTGTGGATCTGTTTGTCTTCTAGCCACGTAGATTGCCCTCACTAGCCATCAGTGATGTTATCACCCACCCACATTTGCTTGCCTATGTAGTTTTGTTTCCTTACGCTCTCCCTGACTGGATGAGATTGGATGAGATTATGGGCACTTGACACAGACAGCCTAAAATACCGGGGTGCACATTGTCCCAAACACAGTGTTTAGCATGAATGCTTTTGTAAAACTCTGGTTGAAAGGGCCACAGATTTCAGTTTCTTCGGCAGGCTACCCATTCAGGGCTGTGATGTGTGAGAGGGGTTGTAATAAGATGCTAAATACTAAAAGAGATAACTAAACATCATTGAAAACTTAACATTTGTGATTATCTCTTTTTCTAGTGTACAATATGTAGAATGTCAAAGTATAATTGCAATTTTACAGTTGTAGATAGGGTTGCCAAGTGTAAATTCCTCCGGAGCGGGGGACTCCCGTCCGGCATCTAGAGCACGTCTAGAGCGCGTCTGGAGCGTGTCACTCGGAAGTGACGTGACGACGCTGGGCATGCTGGGGGCGGGGCTACAACCATCCGAGGGAAAACCATGGCCCCGCCCCCAGCGTGCCCGGCGTGGTTGCGTCACTTCTGGGTGACGCGCACATTGGGGTGGGGTTCCCCCCGGGGCCCGATCCACCGCTGGCGGGGAATGGGCCTCTGGGACGGGGGTTTCCCCGCCCCCGGGGGGACTTGACAAGCCTAGTTGTAGAGTATAAAATCTGAACAACTATTTCCAAGAGCTAGGTAATTTCCCAACTGATGAAGACATCAACATCAGGGAAATAATCATTTCTAACAGGGTGAGTTCAAATGATGATTCTTGATGATTTTTTTAAATGACTCTTCTGGTGTTGTTGAAGTTCCATATTTGAACTCACTTTTTTAGGAATGATTATTTCCCTGATGTTGATGTCGTTCAATAAATGGAATGAAATGGAGCAGTGTGCACAGTCCGACTGCTGGTCTGACAGGGGGGCTGCAATTCCGAATTACTCTTTCACTTCAAATATTCCCTGCAAACAGAAATAAAAGGCGTGAGAGAGTTTACCGAGCTCTTGAATTACCTAGCTCTCGAAATTAGTTGTTTAGATTTTTTCCTATACAACTGTAAAATTCTAATTGTACTTTAATTGACATTCTACATACTGTACACTAAAAAAAGAGAAAGATAATCACAAATGTTAAGTTTTCAACAGGGGTCGTTTCGT